CAGTCTAAAAACTTCCCCCCCGCCCCCAAAAATCCCCCCCCCCCCAGATTTTTTTTCCCCCCCCCCCCCCCGTCTCTGCTCTCATTTCACTCTTTATTGAATGTATTTTTTACCACTGCCTGCTTTGGCCAACCCTGTACTGGAGCTCACCTCTGCAATACTGTCTGCATACATGCGTTGCAGGGATATTACTTTGGATAAAGTGCATTCCTTACAATTATACATGGTTCAGAGTTCCAATATCCAGCGCGGCTCAGAACAGAGACGGTTAAAACTCCGGGATTCTGGACCAGCAGTGTCTCGGGATTTACTTTGCCTCCAAGTTTTGATTGTTTTGTGTTTGCAGTGAGCCGGTGCCACATCTGGCGGTGGCTGTAGACGTTTAAAGTAAGCACGGGAATGAAGGTCTGAAAATGTTTGGCTTGAGGGAAGTGTTTTAATAAACGTGTGCAATCGATAGTGGTTTTATCAAACGTGAAGAACGCGACTGCTGCAGTCGTGTAGAAAGGAAAAAGCTGCTTCTGGGGTTCGACTTGGGTTGGGTATATGTTTTGTTTTTTTCTCTTTTTTTAAGTTATTCAATCTTTATTTTTATGAAAAGAATGATAAAGTACTTTTAAAATCCAGTGCCATTTTTCACTTTCGGTGTTTTATACACGGTGTGTTAATATAAAATTGTGATTTTGCAAATACTACAGGAAACTGCCATGATCAGCCACCACATTAAAACCAGCAGTCTCTTGTTGTGTAGATGCTTTTTTTTATGTGGGACCTCAACTGTCCAACATCCTCTATTGGTTGTTAACCATTTGGAGTTTGTAGGTTTATCATCTCTGTGTTCCGAGATGTTAATTCAGAGAAGTGTTTCTCCTCTTAATGAGGCGCCAGACCCTTGTTGTTTGAAAACATAATAACTTTATTTAGATTTTAAGGTGAGAGTCTAACAAAAATAAAGTAGAATTAGCATTTAGACTTGAATCTAATTCAATGAATATAAAATTTAAAATGGAGTCCATATTTTTTGCCTTTTATGGTTCTAGCATTGCAGCACAGGTAGCTGCTGCAGGAAGTTGGAAAGGTTTTGCGGCGGAGGAAGAAAGCAAAGTTTTCAAGGGGCGTTGGACATGAGATGGAGGAAAAAACTGGAACAAGAGAACCAATGTTGGCATTTTGGCCAGACCATGCCTAATCCTTAAATTATACAGTAATACATGAATATGTAACATTAAATTCCCCTACAACCTCTCTCCCTGCATTGTGGAAAGAAAAACTAATCCTGACACACAAAAAAATAGATTCCTATAAATTTCTTTCAGAAAGCAGCTTCTCTTATGAAGTACACTCTTTAGTCCTTTTGGAAATAGTTACCAAGTACAATTTCAGGGATCCATAAAATTGTTTATTGAGTCAATTTCATTTTCCATCTCAACCTTTATTTATTGAAATTTTGGCCAAGGTAAAAAAAAAAAAAAATTTTTTTACCAGAGGCTTTTTATTTCTAAAACGGTTTGTGTCATTTCTAATCAACACTTGAATTCATAAGAATGTCCCCAGTTGATCTTTCAGTCAATTTGGTCTTGAGCCCTCGCTGGGTCGAGGGCTATGATGGGTGAGTGCTTGACCTGGAAAGAGATTTGGTTGAAATGACATTTTAAGGGAACTTCCGTCAAACTACCAGAATCATTTTTGCGAGGAGAATTTCACAGCAAGTAATAAAGCAACACACTTTTCCCCCCAGTCTGATTTCAATGTTGTGGTTGATCAGTGTGAAATAATGTGTGGTACACGAAGCATAAGACAACCCATAATTCAGTGATTTACTTGGACATTCGTGAAAAGAAAAAAAAAAAAAAGAAAAATCTTCATCACATTGGTGCAAAATTGTGTAAGCATGAAAACATTCCCCACAATGAGATATTGAAAAGGTTTTAATAAATTTTGTTCAAGGTGTTTCTAGAAAGTGGGCATGCCCTGAGGTCGGTGTGTGCCAACGTTTTGAAAAGTTGATTTTAATAATTTTATGCTATTACTTCTTAAAGTAATAACATAAAATTTTAAAGTATTTTATGCTTTAAAATACTTAAAAATTTGAAAGTATTTTAGCCAGCCCGGCTATTACTTTAATAGCCGGTCAGCCCAGCACCGGTCAGGTGCTGGGCTGACCGGCGCGTTCTCACGCCAACATGCTGTGCTTGTAAAATGTTCCCTTTATCAGTACGAAAACCCATGCAGACGTTTGAAGTTATTTCTAAAACGGCTAACACAATTTTAAAACTACAGTTACGAAGATACTATCATGTCTGCTAAGCAACAGACTATAGTATGTACCACAGCAGATAGCCCAACTAATCAACCAGCCATCATTAGTTGGCTGTTCTTGCAAAAATGGTGTAAAATTCTGCACAACAGTCAGTTGGAAATAAATGTAGTGGGTATTCATTCTGTATTCTTTCTGTAGTTTTAGCAGCAGGAGGAAAGAAATGTTTTTCTATTTTTAGACCAAAGCAATTATGTCATGTTATATATTTTTATTTTATTTTAAATTTACTTAATTGGGATTTTTTTTTAGGTAGATTATTATTGTACCAAAGGAATGTAATGCAGGCCCATGCAAAGTAATAATTGTAGTCAATATTCTCCGTCTTTCCAGTACAGACTAGAAGCATTTACAAGGCCTGTTTTCTTTTTCAAAATAAACATATATCCAACCCGAGTCTGTTTTAAGAACCCCAGTAACGGTAACGAAACAAAGTGATGTTTTTGCAGGCTGCAGGTTTCGCTGCAGGGGTGTTAACGTGGTTGTGATTGTAGCACACTGAACGTGCAAAAAGCCCTGAACATATTGTACATTTGTACTTTCCATTGCACAGAGCATGCAAAAGTCAGGATTAGGGCCGAGTCTTAAACTGTGTGTGCTGTGTTGTGCTGAAGATCATTGTCATTAATGTTGTAGGAGTCGACTGTGCTTTAAGGTTTTTGTTTTTTTTTTAAAAGGTTTTTTTTTTTTTTTTTTTTTTGGGCATTTTTCTCTAACTGCATGCTTGTGGACCACATTGGGTTGTGGTGTAGCATTCAGCTGGTCCCTGATGCCTTCTGGCAACTTCATTTATTCGATATTGTGCCAAATTCCACCTTAAATTGTCAGATCCTTAAAGTGGAACAAGAACTGAATAAAGACACAGCTTGTGGGAAACTAGGGTTTCTCTCTCTGACTTTTAAGGTCAAATTTAATAAGTTTATTTTCTGTCCACTTAAGGACTGATTTTTTTATTGCCAGTGTTAAATACTGAAAGCTGTATAAAATGTTGACATTAGCTCGTGGATAAGTGGTGGAAGAGTACATTGTTTAGACACTGATGATAAAGTTTTTCCTCTTTCAACCCGTTTTTCCAGCTTTTTTTTTTTCTTTTTTCTCTTGAGGCCTACTTTTCATGTCTTGTTTTGATTTACTATGGTGGGAACTTCTGGACCACACTGCCTCTGAAGGATTGTTCAGCATTTAATTTTAGGTTATATTTCAGTGTGATAGGAGGTCCTGTTTCACTCCCAGCAGCCTTAGGGTGATCTTGATTTTTATTATTCAGTGAGTTTTCTTCTTCTTCTTCTTACACTTGAATGATATTTAAATGGAGGGTTTGTATGATTTGAGCTGTTATCTCCTTTTTTACTGTGTGAATAAAATTGTTGAAACATGCCAAAGTATTAAGTGTGACTAATTCTGCAATCGCCAAACATACCAAAAATTATATAATGCAGCAAAAAATATATACTGTTGCTCACTTGTTTATTCATCAGGATGTAGATTATAGGGTTGATGACGGTGCTGCTCTTGGCCAGAAGAGAGGGGACGACGCTGGCAACGGGGCTGATGATGTTGGGTGGGCCGAATGTCGCCATCATGGCTACGACGCCGTACGGCATCCAGCACAACAGGTAGCACGCTGCTGTGGTCAGAACCATAAACAATATGTGGTACTCTCTCCTTCTGGCTGCCGTCTTCCGGAATTTCCCAACCTGTCAGACGACCACAGAGAACGGGATCAAAGTTGCCTTAATGTAAAACAGAGAGAACAACCATGATGTGGATACGTTAAAGCCATTTCACTGTCTTGTTTCTAAACAGTGGCGTCATGACTTTACGTTTTGATGCTGCTGCCACTTCCTTTGACATGAATACTTGCTTCCGAGAAATGAGCTGCCCATTTTGAGAAAGTAACACACTTGTGTTGGGAAATGCGGCAGCTGTAGTGCAAATGTTGGAAGTGATGTGAGGAATGAGCCAAAGTGCCTGAATGCATCTGGAATAGTTTGAATACACAAAAGGTTTAGCCATCAAAACGTCAGATGAAAGTTTTTTAAACACAATCTGATTCTCTTTTAGTTTCTGGACATCTTATTACAGCAAATTAGTATATGCACGAGCAAAAGTGGGCAGATTTTTCCCCGTCTCAGATCCTCAGACAATTCACACAGCCAATTCTCACAAATTCATTTTAGATGGTTTGGAGGATTAAAAAAAAAAAAAAAACCTTCATTCCGGATTCATTCCGTCCTGAGCCAACGGGAGGTGGGCGCCAATTATGGGAAAGACTTCTCCCGTTGTATAATTTGATGTAACTTAGAGTAGCTGCAAGTGTCCAGCATACTGCTGTTTCAGAGGGAGCTGGAAATGTCGCTTATTCTCCATGTTTTTTTGTGTGTTTTTTTACAATAATGCCTGGGTGCAAAGCAATTATATCTTTCACGCAATTTTGTGAGTCAGAAGTAGCCTTTGTTGCATGTTATCCCACAGACAGGAAGCATTACTGTTTCACCCACACACCTGGGAACATTGTGAGATAATAAAGCCCCACAATGAGAATAACAATACCTAATCTAGGAAGCTGTTTAATAATGATACAAAAGACAATTACTTGGTGAGGTTTTTTTTTTTTTTCATTTAAGCACAATTAAAGCAAGGCTGAATTGTTTCTAATATATGATTAATAATACCACCCATACAATACAAGATAATTCATAAAACATGATGATAAAAAGGTAATTAAATATGTTTCAGGCATAATTATTTATTTACAAAGTTTCACAGGCTATTTTTGAAAGTCTAAAGGACAGCAAACCCATCGTAAAATCAAAACCTGAAGCACAAACTCACTGACCATCTTGTTCCCTTACGGGCTCCCACATGTCACGAATATACGTTTTCTTTCCAAAGTCAACCTAAATCACACCTTTCATAGAAACCGCTCCTCAAGTTCAGTTGTTAATAAAATATGCTAACATGAATAATGTTAGTGGACAAATATCAGCATAATAAATATGCTGATATTTGTGAATGAAGGAGGATAGTGGCAAACTACATGAGTCTCAGATGCAGGCAACAAAGATATGAGACCACAGGTGATTATCAGTAAATTAGCACATTTCTTAAAGGTGAATTTTCTTCACTTATTCAGCTCAAAAAGTGAAAGCGCATTTATTTACGTTCATTTGCATCTCATGAAAATCCAAAATTCAGGTAATTACTTAATTCAATGCATGATGTTCTGCTGCATTATGTTTTTGATACTTAATAAAATAAAATAAAACTTAAGCTCAATATAAAATAACATTTCATAAATGCTATGGGATGGACTACATATGAAGGTGGTAGAAACCTGATTCAACAAATACACATGTGTATCTTTAAGAAGTCTGCTTTTCAACTCAAACTATTTGAAACAGACCCTCAAAGCCTGAACGCTGGACGGAGAGGTAAAGGTCAGGTAGTTTGAGGACTCCTGATTCCAGCTATTCCAACATGGTGGATGGATCAGGATAAGAACAAAGTTCAAACTAGTGCTGCATTGTCTAAGTTCAGCTATGCCAGGTGTTCAAAAGGAAAAGTCGGGTGACTTCCTGGATGTCCTGGTGAAGGTTTACCCCACAACAAACCATTTCCTTCCAACAGCTCAGACATATTTTAGTATGTCAGCATTAATTTGGCTCAAAATTAAAAGGACTCATCCAGGTAGTACGAATCTCACATTTCTCACATAATTGTCCACTTAAGTCCAGACCCTCTTCTGGGCTTCAGTGGACAAGCATACATATGTTGGAAACAACAAACTATTAAGTAATGCAAGTCACAGTTTATGGTAGTAAGTTTTACTTCCTTTAAAAGTAATGATTCATTTTTTAAAAGTACAGAGAATTCCAAGGTTATGAGCTAAATTTCAAACAAGAATATGAGAGAATTCACATTTCATAAAGAAAATATGATCTATAAAAATCCATTCATTGCAACATAACCAATCATCATTAGAAATTACTAAAAATCAATACCTCTGTTTGTTCTCAGTTCGGTTGAGTTGATTGAATTGTTTTCTAGTTAATTGCCAAATATTTTGCCAGATGTAATTACGTCTTCCTTTTTCCGTTCCTTCAGAACTTTTTATTAAAAGGATAAAACAAGAATGAAAGAAAAATTATTATGTTCATCCAGCCCAAGGTCAAATCAAAATTACTTCATCATGAAAGAAAGTTGTGTAGCTACACTAAAATGTTTCCCAAGATTCATATTTCCATGCAACTTTTCTTGTGAGTGAAATCATTTTTAAGTTTGAGAGTCATATAATGTGTTTTTAAGTGAAATTACAAAATTACTCTTGTAGAATATTGATATTTTATATGTCCTGGTTCATTAGATGAGAGAGCATTATGATCAGGTAAAACCTGGTTTGCTCTGACAATTTTCAAATAACAAATTGCCTTAAAAATAGTTTCTAACTATTCATTCTGTTTTTTAAAGAAGGGGAAAGGGTTTGGCAGCTGAGGGTCATGTAAAATTGACTTTTTGAGCTTTACATCATGCTATCAATCTTATTCTCTCATCAAAAACATACCTGGAGTCTTGCTTTGATTCTTTCATGCATGTTTGAGAAATCCTTGAAACTCCCATTGTTTTTATAGGAACAGTTGTAAAAAGCATAATAGACAAACACTGTTGTGATCACACACTGAAGGCAGCGAGTCAGAAAGAGCAAGAGCTTCTTAAAGAAACAGAGTCCCAATTTCAAGGAGTCACATTGTGACCAATTTGGCTCTAGCCCTTTATTCTGCTTATTGGTCCTCATGATATGTATGTGAATGTATATGATTTTTGTATGTGTGTGTGCGTGTGTGTGTGCGCGTGTGCGTGTGTGTGCGTGTCTCACAATCAAGAGACTGATTTTTAACATCAACAGGGTAATAATATTCCAGTATGAAAGGGAGACCATGAAAGAATTGGTGTAAAATTTTATGAAAATTTAAGCTGCTCTCAGTTTTGATTTAAAAGTTTGTTTCTGAGAGGCTTCAAAGTTAAAAGACATTTTAATTTTTCACCATAGTCACACAAAAAATGTATGTGGTAGCATTTATATTTTAAAGATTGTCTAATCCTTTCCATCTTGCAGAAAACCTTAAAGCGAATTCAGAATGTGCACCCAATTTATTATTTTTCCCCCATTTAAGATTTACCTGTGTTGCAGTGGACTTCATGTTCCGCTAGCAGTGCATGATCAATTTAATAATTTAATTATTGACTAGTCAGTAACAAACTTGAGAACTGAGTCTCCAGCTTTTGATAAAATAATAAAAAAAATAAAACAACATAAAAACAGTCATTGTAAAAGGATAATGTTGGAAATAAACCACCTTAATACTATTTTTTTGTTTTTGCTACAATGAAGCCATTTGTGAATGACAGCAACTATGTGGAGAAAGGAAATGATTCTCAAGGTTTTAGCAACAATCAGTAACTAAAGATCTATCAATATAATCAATCATTTCTAGTATAACAGGAGGTGGATCTTTTCAATTCCAACAATATTTAATGAGAATAAAAAAATCCATATGAAAAGTTGAGGAAATAAGCAGAAAGGAAGCATAAATGTATAAATCGAAGCATGAAACTTTCAACCTCTTTTTGGATCAGGATGGAAAGTTTAAGACTTTTAAAAACCCAATATGGCTGCTGTGCATTTGTGATAACTCCCTTAGCAAACAGGTTATTTGCTCTTCTGAGAGTTTTTATTTAATTAAAGCACATCCACACATGCTAAATAAAAAAAAATTGTAAAGCTTATTTTATATTGAATGCAAAGTATAGGCTGACAGACTGCTAAAGCTTTAACTCATTGTAACTAGTTTGATCTCTGAGTGCAGAATTTGGCAAATCCTTTTTCAACCTTTGTCTAGAACAGAAGTTCCCAAACTGTGGGGCACGCCCCCTAGAGGGGGGAGGGGGGGCGGCACCGTGCCATTCCAGGGGGGGCGCCGGAAGCCGTCTGGATGAAAAACAAAACAAAACATGAACACTGTATGCGCTGGGTTTTTACCTTAGAATGGCCAACTCTCTGTTATTCCTATGTCAATTTGGTACAGTAGAGGCTTCCACACTTCCCATATCTGTGTCCTCTGTCCCTTTATCAGCAGTTAAAACTGTTTAATCCGTTGTTAACATGTTGTAACCTGTTTTTCCGAGCCGCCTTTAAACGCAACATGAGAGCTACGACACTCGCGCTGGGTTTACACCTGTGAAGGAGACCTGCTGCTGCTGGGCGGAGCTACGTAGGTTTGTGTTAGAATCACGGCAGCAAACCAGCAAAACGCAAAGAACTTTTCACAGTTTTTCCCTCCAACGACTGAGTTGAGTAAAGCTGTTGGATGCAGGTAATGTTAGCTAAAAGATGACTAGCTAATACATCACCTTAAGCTTAACAAGTGGCCTGTAGGCAGGTACCGATGTTGTTGTCTATACTCAGCTACGTACATTCATTTTTCCCCCCAAAAAGTCGATTCCCCCCCACCCACTCACAGCGTCGTGCAACCAGACAGCCATTTGTAATCCATAGGGGAATGTTTGGAAACCACTGGGGGGGCGCAGAAGAAAAAGTTTGGGAACCACTGGTCTCGAAGATGCTTCACTTGGGTGGATGTTTTCTTAGATCTGGTTTTCAACTTCAGAGCAATAATAAACGTAGAATAATTCGTTT